CTTTCTTGTGTATTGGGTAAAACAACTATAGTGTTCCTTGCCTTCATGGTCACTAAGCCAGGCTCCAAAATTAGGAAATGGGTTGGGAAAAGGCTGACCAACACCATTGTCCTGTCTTGCTCCCTGGTGCAAGCCACCATTTGTAGTGCATGGCTGGTGATTTCTCCCCCATTTCCAGAATCAGACATGCAATCCATGGTTGAAAAAAATGTCCTGAAATGTAATGAAGGTTCATCCATCATGTTTTACATTGTCCTTGGCTTTATGGGCTTCTTGGCTGCTGTCAGTTTCACAGTGGCCTTCCTAGTCAGGAAGTTACCAGATAGCTTTAATGAAGCCAAATTTATCACCTTCAGTATATTTGTCTTTTGTAGTGTCTGGATGTTGTTTATTCCTACCTATCTGAGCACCAAGGGAAAATATATGGTGGCTGTGGAGATCTTCTCCATTTTGGCTTCTGCAGCTGGATTACTGGGCTGCATCTTTTCCCCCAAATGTTACATTATTGTGCTGAGGCCTGATCTGAACCAAAAGAAACAGTTGATAAAGAAACAAAACTGAATTATCTATCTATCTATCTATCTATCTATCTATCTATCTATCTATCTATCTATCTATCATCTATCTATCATCTATCTATCATTTCTATCTATCTATCATCTATCTATCATCTATCCATTGGTGGGATTCAAATTTTTACTACCAGTTTTGTGAGCATGGCTTGATGGGCTTGGCATAGCTTAGTGGGTGTGGCTTGGTGCGTGTGGCAGGGGAAGGATACTGTAAAATCTCCATTCCCTTCCCACTCCTGGAGGAAGGTTATTGCAAAATCCCATTCCCTCCCCACACCACTAGCCTGATTTCCAGCTCTGTTCTCCTGTCCAGGGCATGAAAAGAAGGCCCAGCTAATCAGCTGGGACTTGGGAGGCAGAGAATAGATGAGGGTGGGGCCAGTCATAGATGGTATTTGCCAGTTCTCTGAACTACTCAAAATTTCTGTTACCGGTTCTCCAGAACTGGTCAGAACCTGCTAATACCACCTCTGTATCTATCTATCCATCTATCCATCTATCTATCTATTTAAAATTTATCTATTATCTATCATTTATCTATCTGTCTATCTATCTATCATCTATCATATATATTGAGAACAATCAACCAATGGAACAGCTTACCTTTGGAAGTTGTGGGAGCAGAATCACTTGAGACTTTCAAGAAAAGATTGGACTCCCATCTTTCAGAAATCGTGTAGGGTTTCCTGCTTGGGCAGGGAGTTGGACTAGATGACCTACAAGGTACCTTCCAACTCTGATTATCTGTATCTGTATCTATCATCTATCTCTATCTATCATCTATCATCTATCTGTCTATCATCTATCTATCATCTCTCTAATCAAGCTTCTTTCTCAGAAAGCTCAAACTGCCCAAGGAGCTGCTGATACAGTTCTACAGAGGAATAATTGAGCCTGTCATCTGTACCTCTATAACTGTCTGGTTTGGTTCTGCATCCCAACAGGACAGACACAGACTTCAGAGAGTAATTAGGACTGCAGAAAAAACAATTACTACCAACTTGCCTTCCATTGAGGACCTGTATATTGCACGAGTCAAAAACAGGGCTGTGAAAATATTTACAGACACCTCATATCCCGGACATAAACTGTTTCAACTCCTTCCCTCAAAACGATGCTATAGAGCACTGCACACCAGAACAACTAGACACAAGGACAGTTTTTTCCTGAATGCCATCACTCTGTTAAACAAATAATTCCCTCAACAATGTCCAACTATTTACAAAGTCTGCATTACTATTACTATCACCTCCCACTTGTGACTGTATGACTGTAACTTTGTTGCTTGTATCCTTATGATTTATATTGATTATTTCCTAGTATGATTTGATTGCTTATTGTACACTATGACTATCATTAAATATTGTACCTTATGAATCTTGACTAATGTATCTTTTATGTACACTGAAAGCATTTGCACCAAGACAAATTCCTTGTGTGTCCAATCACACTTGGCCAATAAAGTATTCTATTCTATCTATTCTATTGCTTCTTTGTGCAGCTCAGTTTCTGGCAAGCCATGGCCTGATGCCAGTTCATGGACCAGGGGTTAGGGTCCCTGCAGTAGACAATATAATAATAGGTCCTGCCAACCCAGATTAAAAACAAAAAGAACACAAAACCCCAAACAACTTTGGTCCCCAAAGTATAAGAGATAAGGACAAGAAAAAAGTCTGTTTCAATTCTGCACCTTTCTTCTTGTATCTTTTCTCCAACTTGCTCTTTTTTGTTGTATGCCAACTAACTTTAACCCTGCTTGCATTTCCAACACTTCTACCTACAATTCCTGTTCTGATCCCAAAATTAAAAACTTCCAGTTTCCAAACAATCAAGCCCTTCTAACTTTTCTCCCCATTACAGTGACATTCCATCCATAATTCTCTCTTGATCCTAAGAATAAGAGAGTGGCAAACCATTTTTTGAAAGTATCAAGAAAAATCCATGGCCCTGTTCTTGTAAAGACCACAAGTCAACATAACAATGCTGACAATAATTTTATTATATCCCAAGCACTATTGGCCAGAGAAGAGTAATGAACTCTAGGTGAACTAAAACCATGGATGTTTGCTGACAAATAATGACTTTATTTATTTAATAATGCTCTTTTCTCATTAGGGAAGTCTTATCAAAGTGCCTGACTTCTGTGTCATACCATCTTTTCAAACCATTACAGTGCTGGCAAACTTATTCTTTTTCCTTATGTTGTTTATTTACATTCCTTAAATTACTATCCCTTTGACTGCAACCCATTTCTTCTCTTGTTGCTACATAGAAATGACAAATTGTTTTCTCCTAGATGAGATCAATTATCTTCTGCTGCAATATCAAAAGAACAAGAGATAGTGTGCCCCATAATTGACATTGTTTAATTCTACTCCTCTGGTCTCCAGAGAGTTTCAAAGAACAGAGCAAAACAGACACTCAACCAAGAGTGATGTTATTAATATTTCTTGTTCCTAAACACATTCAAATATGGAGCAAGGCTGTGTGATTCTGATTGTTTTTCCTATACATTTTTGCATTTGAATGATCCCTGAAAAGAAATGTTAGATTGTCCTATATTCAGAAGCCATATCAATTATCATTTCAGCAACACACATTTGTGATTTGCTATGTTACTCTTCAGGCTATGGGTGATAAAACTGCTTTCTCAGGTTATATGCCATGATACCAAATGCACTATCAGCAACCCTAGTATTAAATACAAGTCTTACCATTCAGGTGATCTCATCATTGGTGGCATTATTTCTCTGATTTATATGATGTCTAACCTAATCACCTTCAAAACAATCCCATCTGAGGAACCTCTTGATGATCCCTTGTATGTAGTTCCTATTTTAAACTATATCAGCTTCCAAATCTGGTTGGATATTTTGGAGATGGAATAAATTATTGAAATATAAATTTTATTTCCTTTCAGTTAATCTTCCTACACTCTGTTTTTTATATTGTTCCTAATGATTGGGTTAACAGTAAAATAGTGCTTTTTTCTCACTTTGCTTCAACTTCATAAAAATTTTTACCACTGCACTTGGTCTTGCTTAATATATCTGAGTTTTCCCCAATGTTCTGCTTTCTAGTTTTCCAATGCTTCTGTCCCAAACACCAGTTCCACTATAGTATTGTGTATGTAACTGCTCAGATCACATTCTGCATGAAAAATAATTTTCTATGAGGTAAAAGCAAAGTTTATTTTGAGACTAAATAGACTAAGTAGAAGCTTTTATACTATGTCTATTATGTGGATATGGTTCTACTCTGTTGTTCCATGTCAATTTTTTTGATCAATTAAGTCTGGCAGAAATTTATCAGTGAAGAATTGGAATAGATTTAACAGTTGCCTGACCAATTTGCTTTCTTCTGAGAGCAGAGTCGAGTCTGTTTTATGGCAACATTAATCAAAGCACCCTTTTATTCCATACACATTTCCAGTCTACATCACATTCTCACAGATATATGAAATAAGGTCCTGATAGAGGATTTTGGAGGGAGGAGAGGGAAGATATAGCACTAGAGCACTAGAGAATAATCTAGAATAATTTTAAGGGCAGATCAGGAAAAAAACATGGAATTGTTTCAGAGATGGGAGACAAGCAGGGTTACATTACACACTTGTAAGGATCTCTTGAATCAATATTTTATAAGAAATACTAGGTAACTCAAAGAGAAGTTAATCATTTCTTGAATGAACTTATCTTGAGAAAGGAGTTCAATCACACTGGTATAGAGAGGGAGGAGAATGGGAAGAAATCATGAAAAGGAAGGTGAAAGGCAGAATTGTTTTAAATGTGAACAAATAGAAAGCATTAACATGGGAGCACAGCATTTTGGCCTTTAACAAATATGTAGAAAGAATGTTGCATCTTCCATTGAATTTCCTAAGCAGTTTAGCAGTCGAACCCATCTGTGTGATTTTTTTCTCTAAGTCAACTTCTTTGACATCACAAAGAGGATTTCTTAAGAAATGTTGCTTTCTAGGTTTTAAGATATCACCATTTCTGATGTTCCCCAATATACAACATTTCATCTTTCAAAATGAGATAGTAACATCCCAATGCTATAAAAACATTTTAAAAGATAATTTAGACTACTGAAAGATATGGATACCAAAGAGGATATCTGCCAAATAGCTGGTTCTATACTGATTTTTATGGAATAGAGAGGACAAGTATTTTCTACAGACACTCTGACCTTGGGAGCTCAGAGTCTATTTCTGAAAGGTTAACAAAGATTATAAAATTGAAATGCAACAAATTTTTTGTGTGGAAATGCCATTGTGGTGACCTAGGCACTACCCTCCCTTAAAGTTTGTTTTTACAGACATACCAGCATATCTTGTCCTTGATCTTTGCTGTAAAGGAAATCAATGAAAATTCTCACATCTTACCAAACATCACTTTGGGCTTTGGTATATCTAATAGCTATTTCATGGCAACATGGACCTACCTTGCTTCTATGGAGCTTCTTTCTTCACATGACAGATTTGTTCCTAACTATAAATGCAGCAACAATCAAAACTCAATTTGTGTTATTGCTGGACCCAATTCTCATAACTCTCAGGTTATGGCCGACATTTTGAGCATTTACAAGATTCCTCAGGTAAGACCTGCTCAAGTAAAAATAATAATAATAATAGAATTATTGATATGTGAGTTTTTCTTAAATGATATTTTCTGGATTTGTGGTAAACTAATATCAAACAAAATTTAACTGACATCTGAATAGACAACACTTTCATATTTTCCAGTCCTGATTTACTGAAAATTGTGCTGAGTTGGAGAACATTGTCTCCAATTTTTTTAAAAAAAATGTAAATAAGATTTACATTTCTCTCTTGCTCTTAAGAGAGATCATTCTTTTAATTTCAAATATTTTTGCTGATATCCATAGCAGTAAAATAACAAGAAAATGATAAGAAAATGAAAGCATATTATCTAGTATAACTGGAAAATCAAAGTGATGCATTCATAATAAAGAAAAAACAAACAAACATATGACTGAACAGTGATTTATTCCTAAAGCAATTCAAAATAGCATTTTTATTTGCAGACAAGTATTGAAGCATTTGTTCTATTGAGGCTAGGATATTTTTTCCTGGTTCATTGTTCTCCCTTTTTTTTCAATGGAATATGAAACAAGAGTTCATCTGAAAAGATGATCTCTTCTGTTGATAAAAAGTAATAATCCAAACATAGTTGTACCTCAGATAATCTCAATTAATAGTTTCTTCCATGAAAAAATATGATCAGTTCAAGCAATGCATTCATTCCATAGTACATACAGTCTATATGTCTATATCCAAGTATACAGCTGCATTGATATAGGAAGGGAGGGAGGGTGGCTCAGCCTTGTTAGTTATCTGAGAAGTCTAGATATGGTTACATTAAACAGAACCTTGGATAACTGAAAGTATTTTCCCCCTCCTCATTTTTTAGTCTCTGGAAAAGTAGGAAGGTTCCTGTCTGGGAGTCAGAACACTAATGGAGGTCCAAATAGTCAAGAGATTGATAAGAAAACACCTTTATGCTTTGAGTGAGTTCAAATATCCAGAACAAGATGGTTTTCACCCCAGATTATTGAAGGAGCTGGCAGGCATGATCTTGGAATCACTGAATGAAAGCTTTCAAAACTCCTGGAGCATGGGTGAACTGCCAGAAGACTGGAAAAGGATGGTGTAGTTCCAATACTACAAAAAGGCAAAAAAAGTGGATCCAGGAAAATACAGGTCAATTAGCTTGACATCAGTATATGGGAAAATCCTAGAAAAGATAATCAAGCAGCAAGTTTGTGAGCATCTAGAAATGAACAAGGTGACTACTGGAAGCCAACATGGGTTTATTAAAAGCCAACCATGCCAGACAAATATTATTGCCTTTTTTGATAAAGTGGATAAATTAGTGGATCAAGAAAATGCTATTAAAAACATTTGGATTGCAATGAGGCATTTGATAAAGTAGACCACAGCTTATTTCTTTTTTTTTTTATAAAGTTTTATTTGGGTTTTCACACACACAATACAAGTAAAACATCTTTTTTGAAAATAGCATGGTCCCGGGTTACACTTCTTTATAAAGACACAAACTCAATTTCATGCTTTTTGTGTTCTATGCCATATCTTATTACTATTTTGCATTTTCTATATAGTTTTTTCCCTCTTTTAATTTTCTCAACTTTATTTTGATTATCTCATCTCAATTCAAATCATATTTATACTTTTGTCTGTCCTGTTTCAATTTCATATTATCTTTTCTCATTAAACAAATTTTCTCCTGTAGTTACTAATTGGAGTGTGACACCTTTATATCTTTTAATTTTATCCATTCAACTCTTATTTAAACTTCAATGTATACCTTAAGGTTATAACATTCAATATAATACATAATACATAACTTCCAATCGAATTCTGCTTGGTACATTCTTAAAATACACACTATATTCTTTAAAAAAAAAGGATTATAAATATATGTAATTAAAACCCTCATTCCATTCCAATTCAGTTCTATCATTAATATTCATCAAAGTCTTAACATCTTTAACATTTCTTTTCAATTAAATATCATACTTCCTTGGGGACACGTATAATCTTTCCATAATTAATTTTTCCCCTATTTCTCTTCACTTATGTTTTATAAATAATTAAATATTCATTTTATTACATTTATTTATTAACAAACATTCCAGTAAATTACGATAACTATTTTATCCATCATTTTAATCATACATTGTTTCATATTTTCTGAAATTATTTCTATTTCTAATATAACAATACTGTCTTATGTACCTTTGCAGAATCCCTTTTTCCATTAGATTTTCACCCTTTATCTCTAAATAGGCCCTGTTTCTCTATATCTTGTTTCTGTCCTTTATAACTTCTTTTCCTTTCTTTCTTCCCTCTCTTCTTCTCCCTCCCCTTTTTACCCCCTTGTGTCTCTACTTCTAATTCTCTCTTCTGCATTTCCCTTTTCTGTTGCTTTCTAATTTTATACTTATTTTTCAAACTATTCTTTATTGGGGTTGTTTTTCCAAATCTTAAACTTTTCATTCTCTTCCCCCCCTTTCCTTTCTTTCCCCACATAAAATTACTTGTTCATTAAAGATGGCTTCTTCTTTGTCCCAATCTTCTTGTTCTGCAGGTGTTTCTTGTTGTTTCTCATAGTTCCAAATCTCCATTTCTAAGAATTGAAATACGAAGTCAAAAAAACCTCTCCCTTCTTGTGCGTCTTCTTTGTACTTTTTAAGTTCCATTTTCAGTTCTTCTAAAAGTGGTGCCATGTTTGACACTTTTAAACAACCACCCGATTGATTTTAGTCATTCAAATGCAGTAACCAAAAATCCAGAAGTCACCAAGTAATCCAAATACTCCCAAGCTGTTTCTTCTTACTTCTTTTTTCACTTTCTCTTCCTGGGGTTTTACTATTTTGTTGCCATGTTTCAGTTAAAATGTATCTTTTAGAAGTCTTGTTGAGATTTTACTGTAAGTTCTTTTTAATTCCAGGCAGTCTCCCTTCCAGATCCTGCCTTTTTATTCTTTTTCTCTCCTTTCCTGCTTTCAAAAGCTTTTGAGTATCCAGAATTTTTTATTATCCCTTTGACATTTTATTTTCAGCTTAAATGCCTATTGATGTCAAAGTGATTTTTTTTCTCAATTTCTTGCTTAAGTCTCTTAGCTGTCAGTATAGGGGAAGGAAGAGGAGAGAGAAAAAACCAAATCCTTTCCCCTTTCTCTCTCCTTCACTGCTTGAAAATCTTCTTTGGGAACAGTGTTATTTTTTTATAGTTTAAATTCCAGGGTACCTTATTTGTTGCTTTTGCTGTTTGACCCGGTCAACCAAAACTTTCTCTTCTTATCTTCCTCCTGCACATTCTTTTCCAGTCGAGCTTTTCTTTGGGGTGGCCATTTCTGACCACCGCTATAACCACCTTCGGGAAAGGGAGTAATAGCCAGCTGAGGAGGAGAGATGGGGCTCTCCTCAACCCTGCAGGCAGTCTTCCCCCCCTCTTCACCACTTCTACAGGGTGGCTTAGCCCTGAAACCAGCCAGCTCTGGGTGCTCCAGCGGTGAGCACGGATCTAAACCATGCAGAATCGCGGTTTCGGTCTGTTGCCGAAGAAGCTCAAACCAGCTTATTTCTTGATAAGATAGAACAATGTGGAATAGACAGTACCATCACCAAATGTATTCACAATTAGCTGACCAACCACACTTACCATATAGTCCTCAACAGAGCTACATCTACCAGGAGGAAAGCATACAGTAGAGTACCTCAATTGGACCCAAAGCTCTTAAACTTTTTCATAAATTATCTAGATAAGGGCATAGAAGGGGAACTCATAAAATTTGCAGATGACACTAAGCTGGGGGGGATTTTGGAAGATAGAAGGCTCTTGACTGATATGAGCAATGGGCCTTTTTCAACAAGATGCAGTTCAGTGGTGAGAAAAATAAGATTCTGCATTTAGGAAGGAAAAATCAGATGCATAGGTATAGAATAGGAAGTACCTGATTCAACAGTAGTAACTTGAGAGGGATCTAGATGCCTGATGGATCACTGCTTAAATATGAATCAGCAGGTGTTGCAGCTGCCAAAAAAGGTCAATATGTTCTAGGCTGTATCAACAGAGGGATAACATCAAAATCTCAGGTACTGCTTTTTCCTGCAATGGTGAAACCACATTCGTAATACTGCATCCAGTTCTGGTCACCATGATACAAAAAAGATGCTGAGGCCCTAGAAAGAGTGCAAAGAAGAGCAACAAAGATGATAATGGGTTTGGAAACTAAATCATGTGATGAATGGCTACTGGAACTAGGTATTCTTCAGATTGAATCTTATACTAACTATGAAAAATTCCACTTCATTCTGGATAAATACACAGCAAGGTTGCATCCATCAGATCCAACTATGGGGGGACACTTCACAGAGAACTAGATACTAAATGGCTTAATTAGGCTTTTGCTCCTATATCCAAAATAGATAAAAATCAATTGTTCAAACATTCCAAGTACTCCCTTGGTGGTAGAAATGAAGTAAAAACATTATATCAATTCTGAACATCTACTGTATCAATAGTTTAGACTTGTCTGATGTCCCATAGAGGCTTTCTACAGTACATAATATTTTACTATTTCCCAAACATTATGTATTATAGCAAAATTGAATATGATCAAATTGCATCATAATATTTGGTGACAGTTTAGTTCCATTAACTTCATAGAAATTAAAGGAAGATATGAAAAGTCTTGAAAATCAAAGCAACAAAATAAAGCTGTCAAATTTAACCATTTATCACTTATATCAAACACATATACATACATTTTGTATTTTCTTTTTTCTTAAGCTCACATACGGCTCTGCTCCAGCGATAGATAACATGATTCATACAGAATTCTTCTACCAAATGTATCCAAATGAACAACTTCATGTTATGGGGATTCTCCAGCTGCTGCTTCATTTTAAATGGACCTGGATTGGGATAATTTTTCAAGAAAATGAGATTGGTGAACGATTTCTGAGGGAAGAACTTTTTGTTTTATCTCAAAATGGAATCTGCTTTGATTACATTTCAGAGCTTCCAACAGTAGCTTTTTCAGATGAGATAGGAGAACAAATCAATACTTTCATTAAATTATGCAAAGTCATTATGAAAAGTACCTCCAGTGTTGCGATTGTATACTCTGAAAACCAGGCCATGTCAGGTTTCAGAACAATCTCCTATGTTTCAGATTATTTAGACAGAACAGTTGAAAGAAAAGACAAAGTTTGGATTTTCCCGGCCCAGATGGAATACACTTCAGTTCCTTTTCAAAGAGATTGGAGTATGGATTTTATCCATGGTGCTCTTTCTTTTGCAGTATCATCAAAAGAATTATTAGGATTCAATAGATTTCTCCAGATGAGAATCAGTGTTCCAGAAAATGAAGACAGTTTTTCAAGGGTCTTTTGGGAACAAGCTTTTGAATGTTCTTTCTCAAAATCCACTTTAAACCCAGAGGCAGAGAAAAGGTGCACTGGGAGAGAAAAGCTGGAAACTCTTCCAAACTCTGTTTTTGAATTGAGCATGACTGGGCAAAGCTACAGTATCTACAATGCAGTTTATGCTGTGGCACATGCTCTCCAGGCCAAGCTTACATTCCACTCCAAAAACAGAGCAATGGCTGGTAGTGAGAAACAGAGGCTTTTCAATTATCAAGTGTGGCAGGTAATCTTCTATTTTTATTAGTATACCAGGGCATATTGCTTCCATATCTACAATTATCCACAAGTTATATAGAAACCAATTTAAACATAATGCTGGAGAAATTACTTAGGTGGATGAGAATGTCTGCACATTTCTATTCCATCTTCCTTAATTGCAAAAAGATATGTTTATATGAATATTTAATGGAGAATATTGGAATAATTGGGCCATTATGGACAGCAGAGGTATCAAACTCATGGCTGGATGCATCATGCACTGGCCACCCCCACCCCCGGTTTAGCAAAGGGGGGAAAAGTTGTGACACATCATGTGATGACAGGTTGTCATTATGATGCTATATATCAGATGTATCGAACTTGTGATGACAGATTGTCATAATGCTCTCCCTCACTCCTTCTTCAGGTTCACTGTATTGGGTGAATTCTTCTCAACCAGAAAGGAGAGTTCAGTGTCTCTTAGGTTAGTGAGAGAGCATTTGATGCTGCAGGCTGGATGTACCATATCTTCATAGGAGAACTTTAAAATTATTCTTATGGTCCATTGGATTCTAGGATTGACATCTTACCAAATAAAGTATATTTGATATAGGCTAAATCTCCTAATGAAATAAAATACAAAAATAATTGTCCACATCATGATTACCAATGAAATAAAAACCGTGAAACTCTACATACAAATTGCTGATGATAGAGTATCCTCCTCCTACTGGTCACTTATCTTCCTCTCTGTACTGTAGCTGCATCCTTGACTTTACTGTTGGACTCTAACTGAGCTGCAGATGGGTGGAGATCCCCAGGCTGGGAAATTTGGACCTGTTCTCTCTAGCGTGGGATTTCAGGTAGCATAGGAGTTCACAGCCACCATAGTAGCCATATACCTAATTCAAAGTATTCATGGTCCAACTCACACACAGAGTTCACTCTTTGGATTCGTTGTTTGTCTGGAATGGTTTCCAAATGACAGGAAGGAAGAGAACATGCTGATAATGGTGGTGGTATGTACTTTTGGGCAGTGGTGGAATTCAAATAATTTAACAACCAGTTCTCTGCCCTAATAATTGATTCCAACCAGTTCTCCAAACTGCTCAGAATGTTAACAACTGGTTCTCCTGAATTGGTGTAAACTGGCTGAATCCCACCACTGCTTCTGGGTGATAGGCATGAAAAGAGACCTGTTAGCCTATCTTTAGCTGTTTTTTGTATCTCATAGAGAGTCTCCTGCTGCTTGCTAATAGAAGTGACAAATTAAGGTTATTATCATCATATATTGAAAGTGCAACAACATCTTCTGAAATAATACTGCTGTATATTTTGTCATCATTTTACACCTTTGTTAATTACTCTCATGTTCTTCTCTTGAGCTTCATCATTACCTGAGAAAAGTCTCATTTAACAACAGTGCTGGAGAAAATATTTTCTTTGACCAGAATGGGAAGATTGCATCTGGCTTTGATATAATCAACTGGATCACCTTCCCAAATCAATCCTTTCTTAGGATTAAAATTGGAAAAGTAAATCCATCGGCTCAACTTGAAAACCTTCTCTCTCTATCGGCAGATAATATTGTCTGGCCTAACATTTTTAACCAGGTAACTTTTTTTTTTAAGGGATGGTTCTGTGAACATGCTGCAGTTGATGTCCATATAATTTATTTGAACAATTGCGCAAATTAATGAATCAAGTACATGAAAAGCAATATTCTTTTTTTAAATACATTTTTATTGTTTACATATAAATATATTGAGTACAGTATAATTAGCCATGAAATAGAAGTAAAAACAAAATAACATATATGCAAATTTATATATTGTACGCACAAATCTGGAACGAAAAAAGGGTTCCACCAGAAGGCATGGTTATTTAAAAAATAATAGATTGTATAGAGATGGACAGGCTAATGATGAAAATAAAAGACAGCGAAGATTCAATTTATTATAGGGCCTGGGATGCCTAATGTTAGGGATAACATTGTTTACCCTAACTGGTTTGGGTAAAAATAATAAATATGGTATCATGGTTTGTTAGTTAAAGTGTGTGTAACTTTAACTGCAAGAATGTAATTAAGGGTGTGGTTGTAAAAGCACTATATTAGAAGTGAGGCAATTGCAGCTCTCTCTCTCTGGCTTACTGATCGCTAATTACTTGATGGATTGATGACTGCATTCTTGCTGAAACAGGGAGAGAACAAGGAGTGTTGATATTTCTCAACGGAGAGAAGATAAGATTGGACTGATTTATTGTAAGTGAACTGACATTGGCTATTCAACACGGACTTTGCAATTAGAGTATCCTCGACAAGACTTGACTGAAATTGATATATGACTAATGGACCGTTTATTTTGACTATGCTATAATTCTTAAATGGAATAAACAATATTTTTTGATAGCACAAGCGTATCTGTATTTTTACTGCGTGTTAACTAGAAAACTTATCTCACACATTTACCTGTCTTCCTATTTGACTTCGCTGCACGTTCTGTTTAGTTTGTTTTCCTTAACACCCGTTGGGGAATCCAGGCTTAACAATGGTTATGGGCCCAGAGAGACTGCAAAGTCAGTTTAACTAGGATAAA